TCCATTCTGAACCATATAAATCTATTCAGTATGTTACAATGGATTATTTTACCTAATGTTTTCATGTTTTGTTAGAATGTCAAACTTCACTGGAAGCATTTGAGAACTGAGTCTTCCATGCACTTCAAGTCAGTTCAGTGCTCTGTTTGTTTAATAAGAGAATTGTGTTTTGTCGTCAGGTGTCGGGGAGTTCGGCAGGTTCTCCGGGTGGATCGTCGGCCCCGTCCAGCTCGTCGCGGCAGTATAACCGCCAGAGAATAACACGTGTCAACCTCAGGGACTTCATCTTCTACATGGAGCAGGAGAGAAAGACCAGCAGATCTCTCTTACTGTACCGTGCTCTCCTGAAGTAGCCAACTCTCCACACTACAGAGGAATCAGCAGCCAAACCACCCGAGCAGACGTTTCTTCTCAGCCCTGCGACGTGCCTTCAGCCCCGTTCACCGCCTCTGTGTCTGTGACCTCGTGATGTCAGCGTTGCTTTTGATAGAAAAGCTTTGGGGAAAAAAAAAATGAAGATGTACTTCACGTTTCCTGTTTTCTCCTCAACGTTATTAGGTCAACTGTATTTATGATAGTGGATTTTAATAGTTGTTTCTCCGGAGCGTTTTTCATTTGTTTCTTTTTTTTTGTGAATGAATCTGACACTGCAAATATCATTTTCGTCATCAGTATTTTTATTTGTTTTCCAGTAAAAACAATCCACAAAATAAGATGAATTTACACAAATATACATAAACTGTAAGTTAAATATATTTATTGTGTGGCCCAAATGAAGAATTAATTCCCTCGTTTTATTAATTAATTCCCTTTTTTTCATTATATTGTGACCACAATTTACTATTCGTTGCCTAAATCGTGGCCACATTGTCCGTATTCTTTCCCTCAATTTGAATGAAAGCTAGGGAATGAATTAGTATGATTTACTAAACTGAGGGACAAATAAGTACTAATTGGTACAAATCGGCAACGATATACTAAAACGAGGGAACAAATTATTACAAATTTGCCACGATTTACTAAAACAATGGAACAAATTTGTACAAATTGGCCACAATTTACTAAAACGATGAAATTAATTAGTACAAATTTGTCAGAATTTACTAAAACGAGGGAACAAATTACTACAAATTTGCCACAATTTACTAAAATAAGGGAAGAAATTGGTACAAATTGGCGATGATTTACTAAAACAAGGAAATGAGTCAATGCAAATTTGCTTTGATTTACCAAAAAGGAGGAAACAAATTAGTATAAATTTACCGCGATTTACTAAAACCATAGAACAAATTAGGACAAATTTGCCACCGTTTGACTAAAACAATGGAACAGATTCGTAGAAATTTGCCACGATTTACTAAAATGAGGGAACAAATTAGTGCAACGTGGCCACATAGAATATATCTTGAATTCAGTATATTTTGTTTATTTGTACTTTTAACAAGAATATCATATGTTATGCATTTTTGCTCTTTTTAGTACAATATATTTCAATATTTTTAAATTCCTGATGAAGTGTGCTTTTTGCAGTGCAGGTGTCATTCTGTTGTATATTCAACACGGAGCGCTTACAGTGACGATCTTTGAGACGAAATGCCTTGAAGTGATCAGTGTACTTTCTGTTAAAGAATCGCGTCATTCTCAAAACCTTACGCAGACTTTCCCAAACATCATCATCATCAGTGTCCAGCCAATCACAGTATTGAAAACCCCATAAAAAGTTACTTTTTCGAAACTTTTATCAGCGAGACTTTAATGTAAATAGACTTGATGAGTATTGTTTTTAACAGCATGTATAAATGATCTCCAGATGAAAATGACGTTTTAAACTCGGAACGAAGTGTTCCTTCTAAATCGATCACGAAGCTTGTGTCATTGTGATTCGTGTAGCTTTAATGTCACGAATCCCGTGTTTCCCGAAATCAGGCCAGCAGATCTGAGCTATAGCAATACAACCACACCAACACATCGTCTGAACGTTAAAATCAACATTTGACTTCTGATTGTGTTATGCTTTTCCCAATCAAACACCATATTCAATCAGAAAAGGCGAGACTTTCTCAACGAATCCCAAGATTTGTTCATTCCAACCTGAATGCAGCAGCAGGTTATGAAGACAAACATTTTAATGTAGGATAACATGCACTGACGAATCAATCACATTAACACTAGGAACGTGTATTATGAAAGTATTAGTGATTTAGTTTGATTTCATGTTTTCATCTGGACTGTAAAACTGGATTCACTGCCAATTCTACCTGTTTTAAACTCAGTATTATCAGTTCATTCTCCTGTTTGTGTACCGATACTTTAAGCTATTTTAAGTGATTGATGTCAGTCCTTCATTTATCATACATAAGCTCAATTATGAGGAAGAAGTCAAATCCTGTAAGCATTTATTTTGGCGAGGGTTCGCCGTACATGATGTCAGGAGAGGTCAAGTTCTGCGACCTTTCTTCATTCTGAGTCCGATCACAAATGGATCCGCTCGCTCTTCTATGCACCATGAATCCCGTTGCTTTGCAGTTTGTGTTTGTGTGAAACTGAACGCACATGGAGGGTTTTAGTTTGGTTTCTCTGTCTTCAGTGTTTCTGACGTCCAGCTGGAATCAGCCGTGTGTGCGTCTGTGTCTGTAAAACTACCTATTTATATTTTCTCATTTGCCACTTTTCAGGCAATACGCTTCATTCCCCGACAGTCCCTTTTGAAACAAGCACAAATGTATTTGTTGATTTGTTTAAACTGACTTTATTAATCTTCTGTTTTCCGCTGGAGGCTCTTTCTATGACTTACGCGTTGTAGCCAAAATATTATTAGGACTCTCTTCATATTGTATTACTGACGTGCACAGCTGGAATTTAATGTTTCGATCTACGGATAATTTGTATATATTGTTTACAAGACCTTGTGTTTATTAGAACTGTCTTATTTTTGGTAAATTCTGTACATATCCTGAAATATTTCTGTTTGTGTGAACATACTACTGTATTTGTACCTATTTTGTAAAGGAATAAATAAGCTGTTTACTAAACTTCAAAATGTTGTTTACATATGTGTGGTTCACCATTTCATAACTGTGATTTTAGAAATTTTAGAAACCATATGTACAGTGTAATATATCTCTCCATATATATATATATATATATATATATATATATATACACATAATTTAAAAATATAGGTGAGTCAGAATTTAATTGTCATATCCTATTTATGTTAAACAATTTATCATTTGAAAAGTTTTTTTTTTCATAGAAAGTAATGGCAACAGTGATATGTTAATTTAAATATTTAGTTATATAATGTTATATAACTTTAATGTAAACTATAGAATAAAATGTATATATAGCTTATAACAACTTAATGATAATTATATATATAAAATTATAATATTTATATATTAGAAATTATATTTATGTAAAAATATAGATAAGTCAGAATTGTATTTATTGATAGGGTTGTTGTTTATATAAAAGTGGATGAAAAGCACACAAACGTCAGGTGATTATTACGCCTTTTTTATTATAGCAAATATGCAAGTAAATAAAAAAGTCACTGTAAATAAACACATGCCCTTTAATACCACAGTCTAATTATTAATACATTAAATAATGACATTTTTCACCTTGGTAGATATTTTGAAATGTTGAGGATCTTCTTTTGTCATTTGTATGTACATATCATATTGCTTTGCTCATGTTCAATCCATCAGTCTCGTGAGTGTCCGCATCTCTTCTCGGGTTTGTTTACAAAGAGAAACCGGCATCTGAATGATTCAATATACAAATAACTGTACATAGAACCAGCGTTTAGGCCTGATGGACGCAGTGTCCTGAAATGCATCACAACAACGTGGAAGGTAATCCAACATAATTCGACACAAACCTTGCGCTTTTCTGTTCACTCGATGTACCTAACAAGATCAGAGCGTGAACAACACACCACTTCATGCACACTGCCATCTTCTGAGGGTGTTCTGGCTTTGTAAATGTGCCGTCCTGGGAACGCATATGAGGATTGTGTGGAGAGGCATGCTGGGATAGCTCTCGGCGCATGAAAGGGTGGTTGGTCATTCCCTTTGTGACAGAACTGGACCAGATCTGGGTCAGAACAAAGGCCGACTCGAGCAGGTTCCCTACGGAGAGTCGAGATGCAACTGAAGCCTGTGGACATTTAATCAGACAGCAAAGAAAACCACGTAATGCAAAAATACAAGTGCATTAATGAAGACATTCAGACTCTAAACTGCAGCGTTTTCAGCTTGGGTTTGAATGAGGTTGTTTGTTTTTGATCGAGATGAATCACAAACACACGGACTGCAGGAGTTTGTTCTTCTGTTGCTCTTTGATCTTTGAGAAAGGAAGTGACCTCCGCCCAGATGATGAAGATGAAGATGAAGATCTACACTGGAATCCAAGCCACACATCACTAACAACAGACTGTCGGCTCAGAGCTCGAGACAAAACTAAAAAAATCTCAACAGAAATACACCAAAAACTAATAAAATAATAATAAAAAAAAAATGCATAATGGCACAACTTTGTATAGACCTAGTTGACAAAAGATGACATAACCCTCCTATTGCCTCTTCTCATTACTTTTATGATTTTTTTTTAACAATTTAATATTATGAATTTTCCCAAAAATCATGTTTTAATTTAGTAGCTTGTGACCTGTTCACTGTTAAAAATATAATTTCATATACAAATATATTTAAGCTATTATTTCTCATTTTAACTGTTTAACGATGTACTACAAACCAAAACTGAAATAAAAATAAATGAAACAAAAACAGATCAAATCAAAACAGAAAATATAAAAATAAAACGGATTCAAAATATGAATAAAAACTATTATCGCAGGGACACTAAAATTACAGTGGTAACAATTTGGTAATAAAATAAAACATGATTTTTGAAAGATGAATATTAGAATTTAATTTGAAAGAATCAGAATCATTTTTTTATTTTTATTATATATACATTATATAATGCTCAGCCAATAGACGGGTTAAAGCTAGTAGGCTAAATAATGCATTTAAAAACTGGCTTTGAGGGAACAGTTTGAATTTTTTTACATAAAATTTATGGCAAAAGATTTATATTTGCAAACAATATTTGTTTTTTTTCCAGACAGAGAAACAATACATCTCTGGAATGCTAGTTCTCTGTGTTGAGCGTTTGGACACATTCATCACACACACATCAGATGAAATCAAGCACCTTTTTCACAACGTTACTCAGCATTCGACAACATTTTGACATCAAAATAGAAAACGGACAACTTCAAACTAAAACTGGGCTGATGAATAACAATTATTCATTCGCAAAGATGGTTTAAAAATTAATGCATCATAGTTAGTACCCTCATTCTGTCAACTGCAGTCTATTTCCACTGAATCTTTAAACACGCGGGCGGCTTGTTTTCACGACACATTTAAGTGCAAACGTATGGTACAGACACAATCATACGTCTTCATCTGCCCATGTTTTGCCTCGAGCTCCTTACATTTTGTTCTTGACACACACGACTCTTTGTATAGGTACCGTATAGTTCAGAACACATTTGATTCAAGCATCGGCGAGCTTATAAAAATTTCAGATGTTTAACGATATGCTTAATGCTCTAGCTTCAGAAATAGCCACGTTTGCTTACAGCTCCTTTAAACAAAGAAACCTTCAGCAGCAAACACATTAAACCCCAGACTGCTCGGCCACGCAGCCCGAGGGCGTAATAGCATTTTCCTGCCAGGAAAGTCTCTCAGACGTAATGCCTTCAGAACGCCACTCCCATCATCCTTCATGTAACAAAAGAAATAAACACAAAACTCCAGCCTAGTACTGCTAACCGCATACAACATGGTGCTATAAGGAGTGAAAAACGTCTTTAGATACAACAAGGATGAAATGAAAAACAATCCAAAAAAATGGACCCCCAGCCCCTGACGATGGCGTTTTTTTTATTGTTCGTGAGCACTGCGTCGCAACCGTCACGAGATAATGACACACACACACTGCACCGGCAGAGGGGCGGAGCCTGCGTTCCGTATGCATGAGGACGTCCTCTGATTGGTGGTTTAGGTGGAACAGGGCGGGGCTCATATCCTGCAGGAGTTCTTTGGGTTTCTGGTGCAGTTTGATTACATTCCCAATATAAATGCTGAGAGTGTGTGTGTGTGTGTGTGCGTCGAGGGACCGAGGGCCTGAGCGCGTGTCTCTAGTCCAGCGGCTCCTGCTTTATCCTGATGGGCGTGTTTGTGGACTGACTCCTCCTGTCCTCGCGACACAGAACATACTCGCTGAACTGAGACGAGTCCACACCGCCGCCACAGGACGCAGCCACGCTGAAACCCTTCTGGAAGAGACGCTCCAACACCTGAAACACACACACAACACTCACTGTCAATCCAAAAGATTTCCTTCAAGAATACAGTAAAAATCGGAAATATTATTACAATTTAAAATTACTGTTTTCTGTGTGAATATGTTAAAATGTAATTTCTGTGATGCGCAGCTGTATTTTCAGCATCATTACTCCAGTCTTCAGTATCACATGATCTTCAGAAATCATTCTAATATGCTGATTTGCTGCTCAAGAAACATTTCTGATTATTATCAATGTAGAAAACAGTTGCGCTGCTCAATATTTTTGGCGGAAACCGTGATACATTTTATTTTTCAGGATTCACAGATGAATAGAAAGTTCAAAAGAACAACATTTATTTGAAAAATGTTGTAAACTGTAAATCTAAATGAAATATATATTTAAAATATTTAAAAAATATATAGATTCAACCTTCATTTACCAAAATATAGTTTAACTTTTAGATGGAAAAGCCTATCAAAATCTGATTTATGACCTAATAATGTTTAATTAATTTTAAAGACAGTTAGATAGACAGATAATATTTTCAAAAATATACCAATTTTCTTTTTAGAATATATTGGAAAATATATTTACATAAACACATTTTAGCAAATATATGTTTACAATTTAGAAATATATATTTAAAATATTTAAAAAATATATAGATTCAACCTTCATTTACCAAAATATAGTTTAACTTTTAGATGGAAAAGCCTATCAAAATCTGATTTATGACCTAATAATGTTTAATTAATTTTAAAGACAGTTAGATAGACAGATAATATTTTCAAAAATATACCAATTTTCTTTTTAGAATATATTGGAAAATATATTTACATAAACACATTTTAGCAAATATATGTTTACAATTTAGAAATATATATTTAAAAACTTTTTTTTTTGCTGTATGGTTTGTATCTCTCTGAAGGTGGTTTATTTAAAGATTTACTAAACAACATAACATAACAAAGGGCTTTATAATATAATAAAAGAGTGACCATGAGCAAGAAAAAAAATCTAAATGAATCATGAATTGACAATCCTGACTCACAGAAGTGAACTGCTGACTGCATCATGCACTGTGAACCGTCTGAACCCTGGATCAGATTTTCTGATGGACTCTGCTGTTCACGTGAGTTTGGAAAGCTGCTTTCACACCAACCAAACAAACTGACATCTGAAGCTTAAAAACAAGCCTGGCATCAACCTCAATCATCTGAACCTGCTCTGTTTCACAGCAGCCTGCATTGTCTAAATCACACACATTATGCTCACATAAAAAAAATCAGATTCATGATGACATCAATGACACAACGGGAACCGGGAATCTCTCACAGGAGCGTCACGTGAGTCTGACTCCTGGCAAAGACAATCGAGAACAAACGTTTTTCTCCCTGACAGACTCTGACGAGATCAGGACAGGTGAGACACACACACACACACACGCCAAACAAACTGACATCTGAAGCTTAAAAACAAGCCTGGCATCAACCTCAATCATCTGAACCTGCTCTGTTTCACAGCAGCCTGCATTGTCTAAATCACACACATTATGCTCACATAAAAAAAATCAGATTCATGATGACATCAATGACACAACGGGAACCGGGAATCTCTCACAGGAGCGTCACGTGAGTCTGACTCCTGGCAAAGACAATCGAGAACAAACGTTTGTCTCCCTGACAGACTCTGACGAGATCAGGACAGGTGAGACACACACACACACTCCTCATAAACCACATAAACATGCACACACACACACAGACACACACCCTGGAGAATCTGACAGAGATGATTCTTTATACTTATTTCATTATACCTGGGAAGGCAACATTTTGAAAATGTCCTCAGACATAGAGTAAAACTTGTTAAAAACTGGTAAAGAGTTTCATAAACGAGCCAAATATCAATGTCAATTTGAAAATGCCAAATAGTTTAGGTCAGGTGTAGAATAGTTTATAAGATAAAAGTGTCTGCTAAATAAATGAATAAATCAAAGTCAATGATATGTACACTAGCATTCAAATGTTTGGGGTCAGTAAGACATTTTTTTAAGAAATTAATACTTTTTATCAGAAAGGACACATTAAACTGATCAAAAGTGACAGTAAAGACAATATTACAGAAGATTTCTATTTCAAATAAATGCGGTTATATAAACACGGTTTCCACAAAAATATTGGGCAGCACAACTGTTTTCAACACTGATAATAATCAGAAGTGTTTCTTGAGCAGTATATTAGGATGATTTCTGAAGATCATGTGACACTGAAGACTGGAGTAATGATGCTGAAAATACAGCTTTGATATATATCTCTATGTGAACATACATTCACATAGAAAACACTTATTTTGAATCACAATAATATTGAACTATTTTTAATGTATTTTTGATCAAACAAACAGCCTTAGTGAACAGAAGAGACTTCTTTCAAAAACATTTAAAAGTCTTACTGACCCCAAACTTTTAAATGGTAGTGCATTTGTGTGCATGATACGGCATCAATAAGAAACATGGATGCTAATGGTTTTACACGTTTGGTGAAACTCATTTTGATGGAAGACAAATAAGTGACCGGAGACGTGCTTTGGTGATTTAATTTGGTTGTTTTCAGCAGTAACTTCAGGAGAATCAGTCTGTCACTCTCATAAATAACAACAGAATCAGATGACGCCGTATTTAACTGCAGTATGAATGTGTGTGTGTGTGTGTGTGTGTGTGTGTGTGTGTGAGTGTGAACGGTTCTGTGTCGTGTATCTGTGGCACGTCTGTCAGTTTGATGGAGGTTCACCAGAGTCTGTGCTGATCCCGGTCCTCCATCACTGTGAGATATGGACGGAGCCGGACAATGGAAGACAAATAAGTGACCGGAGACGTGCTTTGGTGATTTAATTTGGTTGTTTTCAGCAGTAACTTCAGGAGAATCAGTCTGTCACTCTCATAAATAACAACAGAATCAGATGACGCCGTATTTAACTGCAGTATGAACAAACCTGTGTGTGTGTGTGTGTGTGTGTGTGTGTGAGTGTGAACGGTTCTGTGTCGTGTATCTGTGGCACGTCTGTCAGTTTGATGGAGGTTCACCAGAGTCTGTGCTGATCCCGGTCCTCCATCACTGTGAGATATGGACGGAGCCGGACGGCTTCAGCTGTGGGACACTATGAGCATGTGAGTGAGTGTGTGTGTGTGTGTGTGTTGGCTAAATGTTTTTCCTCTCTGAAGCGGTTCACGTGTGTGGTCTGTTGTCCTCTCAGTCTCCAGACTCCGTCAATCTCTCTCTGTCTCAGCGCAGGTGCTTTCACTTGTTCTAAAGTTCCACACGTGTCACTCATCTGCTGTGACTTTTCACTCTCAGCTGGTTTATTAGTTTCTTCTCTCACTTTTTCAAGCTAAATGAGTCCACTTCTAAAAGCCGAAGCTAAACTTTACTAGTTAGCATAGTGCAAAAACAGCAAAACTAGCCACAATAAAGCTAGTGTGTACTTAACTGTATTGAATGTGTACTTGTAGTGTACTTCAAATCTTAAAAGTATTTTTTCAAAAAAATACTGTACTTGTAGATAATATAATATTAATGAAACAAAAGGCTACTTAAGTACTATTTTTTATTAATATTTTGTTTAAGTTTTAATTTTTTCATTTCAATTTTAGTTAAAGCTTTACTAATTTTTTAAAGCTAGTGTGTACTTAACTGTATTGAATGTGTACTTGTAGTGTACTTCAAATCTTAAAAGTATTTTTTCAAAAAAAATACTGTACTTGTAGATAATATAATATTAATGAAACAAAAGGCTACTTAAGTACTATTTTTTATTAATATTTTGTTTAAGTTTTTATTTTTTCATTTCAATTTTAGTTAAAGCTTTACTAATTTTGTTAAGTGTTTTTGTCATTTTTCCCCCATTTTTTAAATACATGACTGTATATTTTTAATTGCAGGTTTAATTTTAGTTATCAGAAATATTGCCTTGGTAACTTAGCTGATTTTTTTTTTTAATTTTTTTTTTTTTTTTAAGTAACTTTTTTATGGTTCTAAATTTAGTTTTAGATAAGTATAACAACCCTGCTTTATAACAAATGTCAAATTAAAAATACTTACTTGGAAGTATACTTTAAATCATTTTATATGTGACCCTGGACCACAAAACCAGTCTTAAGTGTCAATTTTTTAAAATTGAGATTTATACCTCATCTAAAAGCTGAATAAATAAGCTTTCCATTGATGTATGGTTTGTTAGGATAGGACAATGTTTGGCTGAGATACAACTATTTGAAAATCTGGAATCTGAGGGTGCAAAAAAATCTAAATATTGAGAAAATCATCTTTAAAGTTGTTCAAATGAAGTTCTTAGCAATGCATATTACTAATCAAAAATTAAGTTTTGATATATTTACGGTAGGAAATGTACAAAATATCTTCATGGAACATGATCTTTACTTAATATCCTAATGATTTTTGGCATAAAAGAAAAAAATATAATTTTGACCCATACAATGTATTGTTGGCTATTGCTACAAATATCCCCCAGCGACTTAACACTGCTTTTGTGCTCCAGGGTCACATATAATAATCTTTTGTCATGCTTTAAAGAAGTACACTTATTACGATGTGGTGACTAAAACTAAAGTACATGTAAAGCACCATTAATAATTTTAACCGTAGTGTTAATGTATCACTACAAATGTCTGTGCACGCCATTGCTTTGTTGAACCATAATTCAAAATATAAATCCTATTTCACCAAAAAAGCACTCTTTGCAACTAATTGCAATTAATATAAATTTAAACTCACATTTTTTAGTTGGTTTGCAACTAACATGCAATTAAGTGTGCAAAAGCATTCAGTTAGTTTGCACTTATTCTTTTAAAGAATTTCCACATCTCCTCTTTTCAAAAGTCTGCTACTTGTTTTTCCCAAGGGTGTTCTGAGCCATTTAGCATATATTTCTTTTTATAAACCAGGTTTTACAATCATTTTGAGGACATTTGGTCACATATAATGTAAAACGAAGCCCACAAACTCGTTTAACTCTCTTAATGAGCTCTGTCCTCTGTCTGTCAGAGGTGAGGTGTGGCTGGTTAGATGCCTGCAGCGATGTTTCCAGCCAGTAACCAGATCAGAGCTGTATTGTGTCGTACAGTGAAACAGGATGACTGTATCATCCACACAATGAGTCAACCGACAGAGTGTTCAAAAACGTTTCAGGAAACAGAAAACACACCCTTTCCATCTACATCTACCCAACCAGGCTGCCCGTGTGCTGCCCGTCTAAAAAGACTAAAGTGACTAAAGTTTGAAACACTCGCTCTAGAGGTCACAAGGTCACCGACGCAATTAGAGGATTAGAGAAGCACACTGCAAAAAACATGATTTTCTTCATAATCCTTAAAACAAAACACATTTAGTTACAAAGCAAAATTGTAAGAACTGAAATAAGACTCAGTGTTATAAATAGTCAACTAAAACCGAAACTAAAATTAAAACCATAAAAAAATCATAACTTGATAATAAACATTAACTGTAATAAAATAAGAAACTTTTTATTCAGCTATTTGCAAAGACAACATTTTTCACTTTAATTTAGTTTAATTTGATATACTAAAATAACTTTAAACTAAACTTGAAATAACAATAAAAAAAACTAGACATATAAACAAAAAATACTAAAAACGACAACACACACACACACGTCTGGTCAGCTATCCTTGTGGGGACTCTCCATAGGCATAATGGTTTTTCTACTGTACAGACCGTATATTCTATTGCCCTACACCAACCCTACCCCTAAACCTACCCCTCACAGGAGACTTTCTGCATTTTTAGATTTTCAAAAAACTTAATTCTGTATGATTTATAAGCTTTTGTACCCGTGGGGACCACAATTTATGTCCCCACCGTGACACGAGTCCCCATGTCCCCATGAGTCTGTGTGTAGTCAGGTTTAAGTCCCCACAAGGTCATATAAACCAGTACACACACACACACACACACACAGAGAGAGAGAGAACAAATTAAATAAAAATTTAACTAAAATGAAAATGAAAACAGAAAACGTAAAATTCAAAATCTTAATAAAAACTGTAATTCAATGATCATGAAATAATACTGTTTGAATAATTAATATTTATTTTTTATTTTTTTATTTTACAAATTCAAAAAACAGTATATTGCCATTTTTTCTATTTTTACCAACATCAGGTTTAAGTCCCCACAAGGTCATATAAACCAGTACACACACACACACACACACACACAGAGAGAGAGAACAAATTAAATAAAAATTTAACTAAAATGAAAATGAAAACAGAAAACGTAAAATTCAAAATCTTAATAAAAACTGTAATTCAATGATCATGAAATAATACTGTTTGAATAATTAATATTTATTTTTGTACATTACACTGAAAAAATTATTCAAATGCCCTTTTCATTTTGTTCTCAGAAGTTGCTCGTAAATTTCACAAATAATTACAAAAAATGGCAAGTAACTCATTAAATTAAACCTGACATTTTGACGTAGAAAGACAACTGTTTTGTTTTATTTTACAAATTCAAAAAACAGTATATTGCCATTTTTTCTATTTTTACCAACCTGATGAGTTTTAAAACAAGCAATTCGTTTCCTTACGCAAACTGATTTTATTTTTAAAATAATTATTTTTTTATTTTTTTTACTGGAAAATAAGGCAAAAATACAAATGATGAAAATGTTTTTGCAATGCATTAATTAAGTGATAAAGTGAGCTCTGTTCCAAATCCTAGTGAGCTGCCTAAATAGATATCAGACATCATCACTACATTCCAGATATGACGGCTGTTTCAAAACACAGACAGCAGCATTAATCTCATTTCACTAAAATCATGCATCCTTCATCACTAAAGCAATCAGAATGCATTGTCAAAAGATCCAAATGATTCAATACAGTAGACGAGAAATGCTGAATATCAGTATACTGAGAAATAAAACCATTCAATCAAATCAAAAACAGAGTGTTTTACCCATTGTTTGTGTGTTTGTTACGTTTCTGGATATTAGAGCACTGCATCATTAGCTGAGCAACAGTGAAGTCTCTCTCATGGCTTTTTAAAAGAGATGCATGTTAAAGTTACCAGCTTCAGAAACAAAAAGACCTGCTTCATCGCTTCACACAAATCCACTAGTTTTAGAAAAGAAATAGAGCTCGAGCGAGCAAACAAAGAGAGGGCAGACAGAAAGGGACACGCTCTTACTGGAAACGCAGAAAGAAAATGTTGTGTTAGTTGATGCAGCCAATTAATTATATTGCAAGCCATTTAGAAATCTATAAAAGAAGCATAAAGGGGTTGAGGCTGTTTGAGAAAGTGTAAGTATGGTATTAAAAAATGCAATACGTGTATTTCAACCGCTCTGGGCGTTGTTACGTTGGAGTCTTTTTTTAAAAGGGAAGCGCTGTGTCTTAAAAAGAAGAAACGTTTAAATTATGCATTTCATTTTCTAGCCTCTCTTTTCTTCTAGCTCTTGCGTTTTGTTTTTGAGGGCGTGAAAAAATACGGCTGCACATGAAAAGGCGTTTTGTTGCGCGCTTTGCTCCACCCTGAGAGGTGCGGACAGGTGTGTGTGTTAAAGTGTGTCTTTTTATTAATTTACCATCAGCTTTAATGTGGATAGGTGGTATAATGATTTCTATCATGCAAATCGGCGTCCAAATCCAATTCTGTCACCTTTTGCAGATCGCATATGTTTACAAATGCTCTATCAATCAAAGACAGACACAGAAAACAAAGCAAGACAAAAGTTAACAACTCCACTCAAACAGCACTACTCGCATGAAACTGATGAAACCCAACTAACACTCTCAGTCCAATAGTCTGATAATAACATGCTGCAAAGTTAATTACATGATACTCTAAGCAGCTCAAAAATACATCATGCACACACAAATATTTGGTAAATAGTTTGCTTTAAATTTGATATTTATAATTAGATTTTTAATAATGCTTTTCAGAACTCAATATATTCAAATATATTTGTAATTGACTATTTTAGTAATACTTTTCAACACTGAATGAAACATTTATTGTTAAAATGTCTCTTAACTCCATCCACTTTCATGATTTTTTCTTCTGAGCAGCAATGCATTCTGGGATTGTATTAACCATGCATGCAAAATACATTACTGTTCAAAAGTTTGGGGTCGGTAAGTTTTCCCTTTCTTTTTTTGAAAGAAATTAATACCTTGATTCAGCAGAGATGCTTAACAAATATTTAGCATATATTTAAAATATATTTTGGGCAGATTTTTTTTGTTCCCTGCCATATGGAAAGTACTGTTTTGTGCATGTATTTTGTATTTTTTGGGGGTCTTTTTCCTTATTTTTTCCCCGTCTTTATTTTATTTTTATTATTATAATTTTTTTGATGGCTCATACACTAATGTTCAAATAGTTTGGAATCAATAAGAGTATTTATTTATGAGAGAAATTATTACTTTTATTTGGCAAGGATGCATTACATTAGTAATACAACAGTAAATATATTTATAATGTTATAAATCATTTCTATTTCAAATAAATGCTGCTCTTTGGAACTTTCTATTCACCAAAGAATCCTGAAAAATAAAATGCATCACGGTTTCCACAAAAATATGAAGCAGTACAACTATTTTCAACACTGATAATAATCAGAAATTATTCTTGGGAAAATCAGCATATTAGAATGATTTCTGAAGATCATGTGACACTGAAGACTGGAGTAATGATGCTGAAAATTCAGCTTTGATCACAGAAATAAATTACATTTTAGCATATATTCACATAGAAAATATTTATTTTAAATTGTAATAATATTTCAAATTTTTACCGTATTTTTAAATTAAATAAAATAAACATTCGAACACTATTTTGGTTAAATGAGACATTTTGTTTCATACTATTTAGATCAGCTTTCATGTCAGGGCTAAATCCGTGATGCCAAAAAATGCTGTCTAGATAGGGTTTGGAACAGAATCCAGTGATACTGAACTAGTTTAATAATCAAGTTGCTAAACATTTAGACGGTATGACAAATTATTATTTATTTCAGCATTTACACAGATTTTCTAAACTCCGCCACATTAAACAAACACGCCTCCACTGAGCAGATGAAACGTGATAGCGTGATGTTAAACATGCAGGAATAAAGCGATGTCTCAGACAGATGAGAGCAGCACATGGCTTTACCTGCACTGAGTTCAGTCTGCAGTAGCCGTTCAGGGGGAAGCGGATGACGTGGGTCGGGTCCTGGTTCCAGCCAGCGTTGACTGAGTTACACATGACGTCACCGGTCTCGGGGAAGATCTCCTCGATGAGCACCTTCTCCCCGCTGAGGGCGATCCGCTCGCCGAGGTCAGGGGTCACGCGGACCACCAGGCAGTCGCAGGGCTGCGCCAGACGCCTCTGCTCCCGCTCCTGCTTCCACCGCTCCAGCTCCTTGATCATGGGCATCAGCTGGTAATAACGCGCCTCCTCGTACAGGAGAAGGAAGTCCTGGACACACAGACACACACACACACACACATGAGGAATATGCATCTATTATTTATTATACACACTACCATTCAAATGTTTGGGGACAGTAAGACTTTATTATTATTATTTTTTTAAGAAATTGCTCTTTTTTTTCCAGCAAGGATGTATTAAATTGACTAATAGTGCCAGTAAAGACATTTATAATGTTACAAAAGATTCTATTTCAAATAAATGCTGTTCTTTTTAACTTCCTGTTCATCAATGAATCATGAAAAATAAAATGCATCACAGTTTCCACAAAAATATTGGGCAGCACAACGGTTTTCAACACTGATAATAATCAGACATGTTTTTTGAGCAGCAAATCAGCATATTAGAATGATTTCTGAAGATCATGTGACACTGAAGACTGGAGGAATGATGCTGAAAATTCAGCTGCGCATCACAGAAATACATTACATTTTAACAGATATTCACATAGAAAACACTTATTTAAAATTTTAATATTTCACTGTTTTTACTGTATTTTGAATCAAATAAATGCAGCCTTGGTGAGCAAAAGAGACTTTTTTTTTTAAACATTTTAAAATCTTACAACCCTAAACGTTTGAATGGAAGTGTAAATATATTAAGTATTTTAATATATATATACTGTATATATATATATATATATATATATATATATATATATACACACATACATTAATATATTTTATCAATATATCCTGATATTAATATATCTTGTACATTAATATATTTTAAATAGTTTTTATATATTTTAATTTAATACTTGAAAACATCTTGTATATTAATACATTTAAAATGTTTTTAGGAATTGTTTTTGTGTTTCAAGCATAAACCTAAGAACAGTTTGCTTGATTTATTTCAACAAAGACTGATGATACAACAGATTCAGGCCACAACCAAAAAAATAAACTGTACATAATACACACAAAATGCATTCAAATCCTACAGTTTTAGGTTAAAAATTATTATTTTTTTAAACAATAATGAACTGTCTTTTTAATGGACAATAAATATATAGTAGATGTTTACACTTTTCTTAAATTGATGCTTTTTTTTTTTAGAAAACAATATTATTATTATCATATGTAATTTTACTTTTTAAGTAAATGCATCTTGATTCAAGAATGTTTAGATATTTATACTGTATATTATACCTGTATGTGTATATAGTATAAATATACAGTACACATACAGGTATCATTTATTTATACTATATATATATATGTTATTTATACTATATTATATAATCTAGTATATATATATTTTTTCTATATTTTTTTTTGCAATGAACAAGCAGAAAATGTTTAAAATAAGTTAAAAAATTATTTTAGATGGTCTGAAAACATTGTAAGTGGACATCATAATGGAAAAATGTTACTAATGTATATAACACACGTTTCTAACCTCCATACGTGGATATTGCTCTTTTCTTTTTGCCCATGTCTACGTGTTTACAATTTCTAAATAACATAAGAGTGGTGTTTCCCCATGCAACACTGCAGGAAAGTTGCACACTGAAGTTTAATATTTAATGAGCGATTTTGATGCTTTTACTGCAAAAGCTGCTAATAAAGCAACAAAACAAATAAATACATAAATAGAAGGCAATAAGTGAATGAATCTTTAAAAAGCAGTGCGATTGGGGTGCAGGGTGGCATGTTTTGCTCCGAGGGGTATCAGCGCTGCCCGCGGGGCAATAGTCAAGACGTTTGGCAGGATCTCATGTGCTCGTTGGAGCCCGTCAGTGACGGACCTCCAGGCTTCAGCGTTTCTTTATCCAGGCAGACAACAGCAGACTGCCAAACGCTCGCTCTCTTCCTCTCGGGGATGTCTTGCCAGGGGTTTTTTGCCCCTTTCAGTTTTCCCTTAATTTCCCACAAGTCCAGATGGTACTATTCTTCCTCGACTCTCCATCACGGAGCGGGAGGAGCCGAGGTGTGCATGAGGGAGGAAAATGTTGGAGTTCAACTGAGGATACAGCTTTGTGTGCAACGTCTGCAGAGTAATCTGCATGAAGATTGATATGATCATTCATGAAGTGCACACAGCCTGAATGGTAACTAAACTGCATGAGTAATTGTACACACAGTTTCTCTGCATTTTGACAGCATGATTGTGTTAAACTACATTATCGCTCAGCTCTTGGATATATAAGTGTGTTTGACTTCAACTTCATATACAGTATACTCACATAAAGTGATAATATAGCAAATTTGATTGTTTATATCGTAACTATATTACTGCCCAGTTCTAATCTGCAAAATGCGACTATAAGGCACAAAGATGAAAATATTATAAACATTAACATCATGATTTTTTTTGTAAAGCTGCTGTGAAACAATGTGAAAACACTATTAAAATAATTGGACATTTCAGCACGAAAACACTGCAAAAAATGGTTTTCATAATCAATAACTCATGGCAACATGTTTTTTATTATTGTAACTTATCAAAACAATTAAAAAAAAAATCAACTTCATTTTTTAATTACAGAAGATTGAACTTTGAAGATTTGTTACAACTAATACAATTTAAGTTTAAATTACTTTTACAGCCAATTTGACTTAACTTAAAAGTTTAAAGCAGCATCTGTTTTTTTTCCAGTGTATTTTTGTCTTTTTTCCAGTACAAATATCTAAGTATTCTTAATTCAAGATACATTTACTTGAGAAGGAAATGAAAAAAGAAACAAAATCTGTCAGTGGTGTCAGAAAAATAATATTGTTTTCCTTCTGAATTAAGTTTATATTTCATACCTCATTGGTAAATATGTTTTCATCTTTTAAGCTTAAACTCATTTAATTATGATAATTGTTTTCAGGAAAAAAAGGCTTAATATCTTATGTCAATTCATTTTTTAAATAAATGTAGATATTTGTAGTGGAAAACAAAACAAAACAAAAAATTTTTTTTTTGCACTGAATCAGCAGAAATATGTTTAATAAGTTTAAAATGCATGCAATATAAGTTATAAAAACTATGAATATACAAAATAATTATTTTGTAATGAATAATATATTTTATTTTAATATCTTGTATTTTACTTTTTAAGTAAATGCATCTTGATTTAAGAATATTTAGATATTTGCACTTGAAAACAAGACAAAAATACTGAGGAAGAACTTTTTTTTTTTTGCAGTGAACAAGCAGAAAATATAAAATGCATGCAATGTAAGTTTTACAAAATATTTTTTGATTGCTTGAAAATATTTGTCACAATAAGTGACCATTATAGGTGAAAAATGTTTATGAATATATATAACTTTGGTCTGAACATGCTTCTAACCTCCATATGTGGATATTTAGCTGCTCTTTTCTTTTTGCCCATGTCTTTTTTCTTTTCTTTTGCCCTTCACAGTGCTGATGACAAAATGCATGCGCTGCATCAGTGCTGGAGGGAACGCTGAGGTATTAAAAGATGCGCCTGGGTTCTCTAAAGCTCCTCTTACAGTCGAGCCTCATGCAACCGACATGACGAAGAGCCAGATACAAGAGAGGTGAAGAAAGAAAGCGAGCAGATAGAAAGACAGACGATTCGCTAGCCTGAATTCCCATGTTCAGGCGATCCGACAGGCCTGTTGTGATCCAAAATAATGATCTTATTCTGTTGCCCACCGGCAAGACAACTTCTCACAGACAGACAGAGAGAGAGAGAGAGAGAGGCAGAGATATTCCCCCGTCTCCATCTAATACGTACTGTATAAGAGATGACCATTTCTCTTTGATTTTGTCAAACACATGCTGATGTAGAGGTCAGATCCTACGTGACACAGACCTTGGAATCAAAAGTAAATCTTTACGGTCTTACTCACTGGATTTATTATGAACGAATCATCAGTGCATGCTATTCTAAAAATCAAAAGATCATTCATTAAAACTGTCACAAAACTTTGAGAAATGACATTAAAAGTCAAACACCAGCAGCATCATGCTTTATTTACTCGAGCAGCTTAGCGGATGTAGAGGTCAGATCCTACGTGACACAGACCTTGGAATCAAAAGTAAATCTTTACGGTCTTACTCACTGGATTTATTATGAACGAATCATCAGTGCATGCTATTCTAAAATCAAAAGATCATTCATTAAAACTGTCACAAAACTTTGAGAAATGACATTAAAAGTCAAACACCAGCAGCATCATGCTTTATTTACTCGAGCAGCTTAGCAACTGATAATCTCTGGTACAAATGATGCTTTTTTCACTGAGAGATGCAAAACATATTCGGCTTTAGCTCCACGTTCACACTGATTTAGCGAAACGAACGCCACCGCGGGTCATGACAGTCACGATGCCTCACAGATAAAGACACGCTTAACACCGCCGGCTGCCGTTCGCATTTCTGTCTGATTTCACACACGCTGATCAGCAGATCAAACCAGTCTAAACTGGGCTCTTTGTCCGACTCGAGAGAGGAAAACAAAAGTGAATCCAGATCAAGATTTAAAAGACATAAAAGTAGAGTTTATTCATGAGGATACATCAGCCGTAAATATATATATTCTTTTATAAATTCATGCCATTTTTGTGGTCTACATGAAAACTGTGCAATGTGACACAATCCCAGCCAATTAGAACATATCTGATCTGATGTGGATTTTCGACCAATAATTTTGCACTATGGAGCTACCAAATACAACAGGACTACAAATCAAACGACCAACAATATGTCCTAGCATGCACCGCTTGTCATGATGGTTAAAACAAAAACTCAGAATTACACGAAAGAGCTGTTATTGCAAGTATGTGAACAGAAGTTGAATTTTGTGCATTAATGCAACCCGAAATTCATCTGCAGCTTGCAACACACCGCATTCTCAGTATTACCACAAGGGTCTTCTTCTACTGTCAAGTTTTCTCATTCAGCACAACTTGGCCAGTATGTGAAGTATATAAACAAGAGCAGTTTTACAGGAAATACAAATCACATATGAGATTTCTTTCATTTCTCTTGGATAGTAATGAGATTACATGGAGATCAAATGGAGGAATGTATAGTGTATCCCAATATGCAATGCATCAACAACTTCCTAACATATAAAAGTGGAATAAATTGCTAATAATTTATTTAAAATCCAAATAATCTATTTATTTTCAAGATGATAACTGAATGGAACTTGCTAAATTAATGAAATGTAATGAGCAGGTTTTTTTATAATGAACTAAAACCATTAAAAATGTGTTACTTCAAAAAAAAAAAAAAAAAAATTATTTTATTTCACCTAGTTTCCAAGGCAACATTTCTCATTTTTATTTAGTTTAACTTCAGTTTATTATAGTTCACTAAAATTAAGCAATTTCTGTTATTTGAAATAAAATAAATGTTAACTGAAATAAAATCAAACATTAAAACTAGCTACCATTTCTCATTTTCATTCATATTAACTTGATGTACTAAAATAACTAAAACAAAAATTTTTTTTTATTGAAAATTGAAACCTAAAATAAAAATTTTTATAAAAAAATTAAAATTAAAATATATAATATAATAAAGAAAACATAAAAATTTAAATTAGTATAAATAGTGTAAATAAATAGTATAAATACTATCTCAATAATACTAAGACAACACCGAGTTTAACTTGACGTACTAAAAATAAGAAAAACTAAAAATGAAATTAAATAAAATGAATAAAAACCATTAAATAAAACTAACAAAAATCACAAAAACACAACAAAATTACTAATACCTTAAAAAAAATTCAAACTGAAAATATAAAAACAAAAATGTAATTAAAATATTAATCAAATCTATAATAGTTTCTCAATTATAAAAAAACTGCCAATGAGGTCACGTGACAACAATGCAGCATGCTACACTTTTCACATATTTATCATGACTTGCTGCATGCTATTTCACACACTATTTTGTTTAATTGTACGCACTATAGAGTGTGCACTACATACGTACACTACATGCATTCTACTCCAAACAGCCACTGAAGAACAAGCTTCAAACAGAGTAAGGCCGTTACCTTAAAGTCATCCGGCAGCAGCAGTTTGCAGGTTCGCAGGAAACTGAGAATATAGCGGAAAATCTCTCCGTCCCTGTCAATGAAGTAATGCTGCTTTAAACTGTCCAGAACGATGGGCTCGGTTCCGTTAAACAGCCGGCTGATCCTGAAAATTAAAACACACACACACACACAGTTAATGGAGTGAGGCCAGCCTCCTTTAAATGCATGAAACAATTAGCATTTATTTTTCAATTTTATTAGTGGCCGGCCAAAAACGCATTAACGCTCGCTTCTGAAACAAGAGGCTTTAGGAGGATTTGAGTGGCTGAGAAAAGCATTCCAAGTCCTTCTCTGCTGTGAGATGAATACACCACAGCTCTGGTTCATCATCTCAACCGTCACATGCCAATTAATAACTCCCACATGATGGCATAAAGCAGGATAGTCGCATAAAAGCCTGCAGATGATTTGCATATGTAAACTAGACAGTCATTATGAGTCATAGCGATTAACTTAGCAAACACTAGTATAGACTGTTTGCAGTTAAAAGTTTCCAAACATGAGGATAAAACTGTGTTGACTGTGCTTTTCCTAGTTACAGTCTCCTCTAAACAACTTTACATCACACAAAAAAATATCTTAATGTATTTTCTACAATTTTATGTGATTTATTTGAATGACAGACTGCATAAGCACTCCATTTTGCAAACCTTTCAGTGATCAAATCTTAAAAGCAACATTTTTTGTTATTGTGAAGAACATTTTAATAATCTAAAGAAACAACTTCTTTTATGGAATGGAAAGTTTCCATGGATGTTCTTCATGGAACCACTGATGACAATAAAGAACTTTATTTTTAAGCATATTTAAAAAGACAAAACAACAGATTTAAACAGACAGTATTTTGGCACTGTGTTTTTGTCTAGCATTAGTGGAACAGGACCATAATTCAGCTGCATTTGCTTTGATATTTTGTTATTTAATTACAATGGGGCATTTCAAGTGTAACTGAAGTGTCTAGGCCAGATAATCTTTGAACTTGCAATCCCAGAACACATTACAACCTGATCAGTGAAATGCTAAATTCAAGAGAATGTGAGAAATCTTGATTCTAAATAAACTTGAATGTCTTTGAGAACTGAAAAATACTGATAAAATAGTTTTAGGTGATTAGAAATGTAATATTTTACCCATTTGCTGTGTATTTTGTTGCTTATTATTAGAGTACAGTAAAAATAAAAAAAAATAAAAATAAAAACGTTGATTTAGGACAACTTGATTCAGGACAAAGTTAGTCTGCTAACTCTGAAATCATAGGAATGAATGAATGAATAAATAAATAAATATTTAAAAAATTTTATAATTTCAGAGTTAACTGCAATCATAAAAAAGAAGAAAAAAACATTTTTGTAATTTTGTAAAATTAGAGTACAATAAAAAAAATAATAATAAAATCAGTCACTTGTGAGGTTCCATGATTTGTTGGGATGCTCACTACGTAGGCAGCTCACTAGGTTTTGGAACAGAGCAAACAATCCTAATACATTGTAATACATTCTTCTCCCAATCTACCATTTTTAACCTATTTTTCACTTTTTGAGAAAAAGCTGGTTTAGGAAAACTTGGCCTAACACAACAAGTTAGCCAGGAGTATGTTAACTCTGAAATCATAAGAAAAAAAATTACATATTTTTAATTTGTATAGTTTCAGTGTTAACTGAAATCATTAAAAAACATTTTTGTTAAATAAAAAAAGTCATACTTATTTTGATGCCAAACGGAGTACAATCAAAAAATCAAATCAGTCACTTATGAGGTTCCATCATTTGCTGGGATGCTCCCTATGTAGGCGGATCACTAGGTTTTAGAATGGAGCTCTTAATACATTATGATATGTTGTTCTCCCAATCTACCATATTTTTAAACCTATTTTTTCACTTTTTGAGAAAAAGCTGCTTTAGGAAAACTTAGAAAAAGTTAGGCAGGAGTCTGTTAACTCTGAAGTCATAGGAATAAAAAAAAGAAGATATATATATTTTATTAAAATTTTTATTTGTATAATTTCAGAGTTAACTGCAATCATAAAAAAAGAAAAAAATGTGTTAAATAAAAAGAATACAAAATTCTATAAGAATACAAAAAAATAAAAATAAATCAAATCAGTCACTTGTGAGGTTCAATGATTTGTTGGGATGCTCCCTATAAAGGCAGCTCACTAGGTTTTGGAACAGTTTGTGTCCATCACTAGACAAAAAGTGCAGATGTCTCTAATACATTCCTCCACTAATCTACTAATTCTAAAACTTCAGATTCTAACGTCTCATAACCTTTTTCAATGCACATTTCAATGCTAAATCTATTATACAGCACAAATGCCTCATTCAGCGGCTCAGCTTACACACCTGGAAATACCTTCATCTTTCTGCATGCACTTCAGTTCTCTTTATGAACTCTTGATACGATCAGCATTTCCTTCCGTTCCTAGCCGAGCGACAGCGCTATCGCCGCTCCGATGCAATCTCCTCTTTAATCATCGCTACAGTTCCTGGATCAGCTGACGGCTCTCATAAGCACAAAGAAATCAGGCCGACTGCTTGTCAAAGCCTGTATAACGAACAACAGCCGGGGTATAAAGGCGTTTATTGTCGAACGTCGCCTATTGACTCGGCGTAAGGAAGTGATTTGCAAACACAAACACAGTTCACTGAGCTCTGCCAGGTGCATGTATTTACAGACCGTTTCTTTCTTATATATATATATATATATATATATATATATAAAAGGATAATTCTATTTTAATTAATTATAATTTATATTACTTTATTTTTTCAGTTAATTTAGTATTTGTGTGTGTGTATATATGCACACATATAAAAATATATAAACATTTTATATACAAAATGTTTTTTATAAACGTATGTATGAATTAATATATGTGTGCATATATACACACACACAAATACTACATTTACTGAAAAAATAAAGTAATATAAATTATAAATAGTTAAAATAGAATTCTCCTGAATTTTTGGGAAAACAATCTAAACGCACATATACATATACATATATATATATATATATATATATATATATATATATATATATACATATAAAATCTTTCAAATAATTGTAGAGGACTGAAAATAACTTTTTTTTAGCCATGCTTTTATTCTGTTTCTCTATCTCTGTCTTATCAGTCTCAGACACTGAGTCTGTGAACGCAGTCTCTCTCTCTATTTGTCGGTTTTCTTTCAGTAAATCTGCAGCAGCACCGGAATGCATGCGATTCTCCCTCAGTCCAGTGAATCTGTGTCTCTAAAAGAGACTAACAGAAATGAACTCTGCTTCAGTTTGAGTTGCACACAGCATCTGTCCTGCCGGCGGTGGGTGTGAGGGTTCAGACAGACACTTCCTGTCAGACTGTCTTCACTTCCTCTGTTAACAGGACCAGCCGTGTAGAAGAGAGATCTGAGCGAACAAGCACCAGTCTGACCTGATACTGAGACTGAGGTCCTGTTCACTTCTGGTATTGATCCAAATGCAAATTACATGTGTCAATGCAACACAACCACCTAATTGAAAAAGCCCTAAACAAAAACATGCACAAGACTTCACAATATATGCATGACTGCATGATTCAAGAAGCAAAAATCAGCATTTTCTTCTTGTTTCTAGCTCACTTCCTAATCTAGTTGTCTAACAAACCTTGTATTGTATATTATAAATACTGTTTGCTCTGTGACAAAATGCTTTTGTCCCTCTTTGTAAGCTGCTTTTTATAAAAGCATCTGCTAAATGCATACATGTTAATTTAAATGACTGACAGGTGAGTAGGCAGGTCCAGGATGCAAGTCTACAAATCTGATCACATAGGTATTATGATATGAGTGAGTCACAAAATGCTTTGGATCCCATTTACACCCTAAATTTAGCACTGAATAATTGCAACTGGATTGCATGAAACAATATTAATTCCAGATGTAAACAAGTTCAGCTTCAAAGAGTCAAAACCTTGTGTTTCCTTTTCCTTTTGTGATATTTCTTTTTTGTTACATGCATTGAAACCTTTTTGAATTGAATTTATTTACTTAAAATTTAAAAACTTTTTTATTTTAATCTTTTTTTTAGCTTTGTTTCATGCTATAATGTAAATTTGCATTAAAAAGAGTGTGTTTACAAATGATCTTCTGCTGAAATTCCAAATAAAAACATTTTAACACATGTATAGAAAAAAGAATTAAAAAGTTTTAGTTTTTTTTCGTGTTTGTTCAAGTAACACCTTAAAAGTAATACAGGTCAACAAATCTGTCTCAAATGCATATTTTCTGCATAAATGACCGATAATGCCAGTATGAACATTCACGACACGCTTCATTAGCTGCTATTCACAACTGCCCTCATGCTACCGATCTCTGTCAGAAAGACCCCACAGAATGAGCATGAAACTTTCATATGTCCTGTCACTTCAGCAGACTGAGCTGGAGGGAGATGAATGTTCACACATTAGTTATAGAGCGAGTTTCTTTTCCTGCTCTGCATTATTAAGGGATCAATCTATTAAAAGACACCATCAACTTAAGGTTCTTTAACTGGACTCTCTCAGCTGTCAGCTCGGCCTCTGAGGCGCAGTGCTGGGAGAGCGTTTGTTTAGCTGTCGCTGTGCCGGTGTGTGTGTGCTTGCATCCATGTGTGGGTTTTCCACTTGTCAGTGTGATTGGTGAAAGTGGGTGCTAATGTGTGCGGATGGTCAGTCTTTTGTGGACTCAAATGAAAGCACGCTTGTATGAATGTCTTTGCATTAGATGGACAAAAGTTTGGGGTTGGTAAGATTTTTGTTGTTTTTGAAAGAAGTCTCTTCTGCTTACCAAGACTGCATTTATTTGATCAAAAATAGAGTAAAAATATGAAATATTATTACAGTTTCAAACAACTGTTTTCTATGTGAATATATGTTAAAATATAATTTATTTCTGTGATCAAAGCTGAATTTTCAGCATCATTACTCTAGTCTTCAGTGTCACATGATTCTTCAGAAATCATTCTAATATGCTGTTTTGCTGCTCTAGAAACATTTCTGGTTATTATCAATGTTGTAAACAACTGTGTTGCCAAATATTTTTATGGAAATTGTGACTCAAACTTTTGAATAGTATTTGCTTTTCAAGTGCAAGTTTGTATGGTTTGAAATAATAGAACAACAGATCTAGTGAAAATGCAGAAAAAAAGTGTGAACTTGACTTCATATGTCCACTAAAAATCACCACAGGACCAATCAATTAAAAGACACTGATGAAAAAAAGTTAGTGAAAAGAATAGATCCTGCAGGATTTGAGCAGATAAAGACACTCAACATAATATTATGTTTCTAAAGCAATGACATTTAGACATCTTTATGTATGACTTAATTGACCAAATGAATAGAATAGAATAGAATATGCTTACCAATGTTAACCACTGGTTTACCAATTAAAACACACAAACATTTGAAACATAAAAATAGCAACACAGAGAAAATATAATAGTAACAATAAAATTATTTTGCAAACTGTAGACTCAAAATGCAGTTATACTCTAATGTTCACCCATCTAGCTAAACAAACTTTTCTATTGTGTTTCAGTCATAATACTTCCAAAAGTTCTAAATGTTCAAACAAGTCTCTTTCCCTCTCTGTTCAAAAATCAGACTTAATCTCACTCTATGATGAAAGCAACGAGAACAGCGCTTACATTTCTGTCTCTCTCCTAATAAAGTCATAATTGTGGATCAGACAGAGCGAGTCACAGGGAATTCTGCTCATATTCACATTCAGGTTAAGTCAGACGTCATCAGAACACATAATTAGCCTCTAATCAGCTCTAATTGAGTAAACCACTCAGACTACTGTGTGTTATCAAACACTCTATCAACCAACATCACATATGCAATCTGAGAACACTTTATTTAGCATCATTTCTAATTTAACACTAAGAAAATGAACCAAAATGCAGATGCATTTGTGAATGTCTCAGTATTTGATGTGAAATGGTTTGCTTTGCTTTACAGAGCTACACGAACAAAAGAGCATCTTAAACTTCCTTTCATGCAGTTTCAAAATAATACAATTTAATACAAAAAAATGCACTTTTACTTCAAGCGAAATGATTCGAACCATTTAGAATGGTTTGTACAATGTAAAAAATGCTAAAAACAACCATTTGCACACCCTAAAAAAGACACAAAAATAACGCAAACGTGCCGTTTTGTAGTTAAACTTCTGATTGCACGCTCTTATGCAACATTGCAAGAGGCCAGGGGTCTTACCGTGAGTCTGGGTATTTGGTGAGGGTCGCCAGGCTGCTGGTGTACATGTGGCCACCCACGTCGATGTGAACGGGCGCGTTGGCTTTGGTGAGCTGAGCCGGCAGTGGAATCCCCTGCGTGGCCAGAGGAGAGACCGGAGACCGGGTCAGAGACAGGCGTGACATGCTTCTCCCTTCCTGGAAGCAGACAAATGGGAAAGCCATGGAGAAATTATGCTGCTGATGCGCCTTCACGGTGCCTTAGCGTCTCTCCCACCTTGAGCGTCTGTGCGAGTCTTATCAGATCGTTTTCTCATCTGCCCCATCGCATATTTAGCTTACAAATTATTGCCACAGCTCTAATGAAGTATGTTTGCATCTTTTCACTGGTGCAGCCCGAGGGCAGGATACAAGGATGTTTATTAATGCTGCAGAGAGAGGGAGAGCGAGAGAGAGAGATATGCGAGGTGTTCGCCTCCGGGGATGGGAAAGAGAGAAAAAAAATCCGCCAAGTTTCTAATTAAAGGTCGTGTTATGTGTTAGACGTGATATCCTCCGACACTTCAGCAACCAATCTGAACATTTAGGAAACGAGGGCATAGTGCGCGTTCACGTGGAACGCCAGGCATCACTTCCAACCACGAATCCGCTGTTAGTGAACTGAGAATCGCTCGACTTCCACCAACACTGGACCGCCATGCTGGAATCAGAAACACCTAAAGATGCATTTGACTTACAATTGTTAATGCACTTTCTCAGTGTGCAAATGCAAAAACTTTTCATGCACATCAAACGGGAACCACATACTGTACAAATTTTTGAGAAACGTTTTGTGTTTGCTGGAAAATAAATCTTAAACTTGTAGTTGCATTTAGGTTCCAAACCATCTTGGCCAGCTGATCTACAAGCTTGAATTTCAATGCAATAATTGCAATTGTCAGTGCACGACCTTAAATTACTCTTTGGCTATTGTTTTACGGTCTCGTCTCTGTTCTAGCTCTTTTCAGAGCCATTTTGAAACTTTGGATTGTGGCACGATTAAAGCATCTGCTAAATGAATGCACGCCAATGTAGGCTTGTCTTGATGTGCATTTTACACTTCTAGTGCTCAGAATAATTCCACAGACATCCTGCTGTACTGAGCATATGCAAAAATGTCCAAACTTGAATCAAACAGCGTTCACACACAAACCCACTTTCCTCCTGAATTTCACTTGAAGACTGTCTACTGAAAAGACTCTGTACAAACCCAAAGGCTTGTTTATACAAGTCAAAACTTTACCTCACAATGCCCGGATCACGCAGGGCAACATGGAAATAGGACTTAACATATTCCAGCTGTCATAAGAAAGACTGCTTCATTGTGAACCTGGAGTTCAAAGGGATTTCAACGACAAGTTCTTCCATGCATTGGCTCATTTGCCTGCCTGTTATTTTAACCATACATGGTAAACAGAAGGCGGTTGTTATAGGCTCCGCTCAGCTCCAGCGCTGGAGGCCATGCGCTCGAGGCGGACGGCAGAATTTTCCAGGGTGTTGCCACCAAGCCCTCAGCACTAATGTTCATTTAATACACAAGCAAGATGATACATTACAGATTCCATTGAAAGAAAAAAAAAAGACTTAAGACGTTTTGGCATATGAAGCTATCCCTCATCTCCATATAGCTACGGGCGTTGTAACCAAAAGCCCAGATATTAATGCCGAGGGAACACAGTGGATCTGCCCCTTTTCTCTCTCTCTCTCTTTGTTAATAGGAGGGACCAGGTACACTCTTAAAAATAAAGGTGCTTCAAAAGGTTCTTCAAGCGATGCCATAGAAGAACCATTTTTGGTTCCGCAAAGAACCATCTCTTTCTTACGTTTTTATAATCTGAAGAACCTTTTTTCACCACAAAGAACCTTTTGTCAAACAGAAAGGTTCTTCAGATATTAAAGGTTCTTTATGGAACCATTTAGACAAAAAGGTTCTTCTATGGCATCGTGAAGCACCTTTATTTTTAAGAGTGTAGAAGAGTAAAGAAAAGTCAATGGTCAAGCTTAATAGTACAGAAATGCTCATGAACATGAGAAAAATGTCTCACAAACTCATGTTTATGACCCCAAAATACTCCAGATTATAAATATAAACCAAAAATAACCATCAGAGAATGTCCTGTATTAAGTAGTCATACACAAACTTCTTGCAACGTTGATTCCCAAAACCTAATCAAATGGGAACCTACTGTGGTGATGTTTGGAAAACGGTCTGTGTTTGCTGGGAAATGCATCTTAAAACTTGACCTGCATTCAGGTAGGCAGTCTAAGCTGGTTCCAAAACCATCTTGACCAGCTGGTTACTAGCTTGTACTATCTTAGACCAGCTACCACGTTCAAACTTTGAGACGGTTTTCATCCAATCCTCGCTTTCCCTGTCAACCACTCAGAGCAAATATAAACACGTTTGTTTCGACAGTCAATGGCGGAAGCTCTAGAATGCCATTTGGACGTTCGTGGAAACGTTCGTTACGCGTACAATGAAATCAACACACACTTTTCCTGCTTGCTTGCTCCGGTTTCAAGTCGGTGCCCTACGGGTTAAAACTTCAATTCAGATCATTTCACAACATGGCGTCTCACTCACAGCGATAAAGCTTCAGGTACGAGGCACATATCCTCCTAATAACACAGGTTCTCGATGCCTAGAGGGTGTTTAATAAGGTTACAGAATCAGAAAAAAATCTTGAAATATCTCAGAGGACATGAAGCGTGAACGCGTTGGAGGACGCGTCACGTTTCCGCCGCGTCGCACTCATTCTCGACAAACCACAAAAGCACCATCACATGAATCATCTACTCTACATTGAGATGAGATTTAATTGGAAATGGTACCGTTTCAAACATCGTAGGTGTCCGAATCGCGCTCCGAGTCCGGTTCGATCAATCGGCTCCCAGATGAAGGTTCGCGTCGCTCGCTCGCTCTCGGTCAAGTTTCTATCCGATAAACGATCCAGCCTAGCTATTCTCGTACTGTCCGGAGTGAAAAGCGCGTCAAACTGCATTAAAACATGTCAGAGGTGGATCGCGAAGGGTCTGGGCGACTATAGCGAGCTGCGCTGCTGCTGTCTGGACGCGTTCAGAGCTCAAGCGCAAAAGCGCGCAGGACCGTCTTACCTTCTCCAGGACACCAGAGCTCTCCTTCCCCCTCTTGATCTTCTTATTTCTTAATACTCTGATTCGGTCGCGTATATCAGCCTCGCCACTGTCTTTTTTGGCCACGGTGAATCTGCTGCTTTGCTTATGGGCAGAAGGAAGCCAATAATCCGTCTCTAAATCAGAGCAGAGCCGAAAGAAGAATTCTGGCTCCAGGCTGCGCAAACGCCTCTGGGGCCACGGGATTAGAGGACAATTAACTCAAACCCGAGCAGACTCATTGGAACAGATGCAAACCCGTTATTCCCCTCGATTATTTAGCTTCGCTTAGCTCTTTCGCAAAGTAAAAATAGCTGGCGAGGGTTTAAAGTTCAGCGTATAACGGTTTACGCATCAGGCAAGTGTCACCACGCCGTCCCTGAGACTTTGGAGAGGCAGAAAGGCTGATTTTAATCATTGTCATTTCGTCTGATGTAATATTCCCCCAGGCTCTTTCACAGAGGCAACGCATTTCCCTTCCCTGAACGAGTACAAGTCTCTCTTCGCCCTCGCGAAAGCAGGAACTTGTTGATAAAGTGGCGATAGAAGAGTCAGACGCGTTTTCTTTTTGCAAAGCGAAAATCTGGATCTGGTGCTCATGCATGCGGCGCTTCCCCCCTCGCTCCTCTCTGCGCTCTAATGTCTGTGAGAATTGTAATGGCAAATTTCCTGCAGGCCATTAAAAGCAAATGACGTCTGGACATCATTCACCGTGCGCCCTCACAGTCCGCCCGCAGCCAAATGCGCCATTTCAATTATTGCGCACGGCTAGATGGAGATGTCTGCTGCTGCAGGATCTCTCGTGCAAACGGGGCAGAACGTCGGTTTAAACCCACACAAACACAATCTTACACTTCTCGCGCCGGATCTTCATTTATTTAACAGCAGGCGAACAAATAAAGACAGTTGCGTTGGGCATCAGCTGCGCCGCTTTCCCCGCGCAGGTACTCGATTATTTATTTATCTGAATGTTTGTTTATTCGCATGTAAATAAGTGTGAATAATTGATGCTGCGCTGAGACCCGTAATTACTGTGGATCTCACACTCACAGGACTGATGCTGAACGAGGCGTTCCGTGATGTTTGGCGCCCGCCGGTGTCCGTTCGGAGGAACGACGGATTCCAAAGAGTAGATTAGAATACAATGATTCGTTTGATTACAGTAATAGAATGACAGGAGGAATGACAAACAGAAGGATAGCTCTCTCTGGCTTCCAATAAAGAAAATATATAGAATTAATTCAAGTAATGTAGAACAGTAGGCTGGTGCTAGTTACATCTGTATTCAGTTTCTGTTTAATGTCTGTATCAGTCAGTTTCTATATCGACGCAAACATTAACATCTCAAGTACAAAAATACTACAGTACTTAACATTTACAAAATACCACCGAGTTCATCGAAGCTTTTGGGACAACATACCCCAATAGTAACACATGTTGTCACACGTTTTCCATTATTATAGGAGTTTTAGCACATTTTTTAAAGTAAAACAATTATGAAACCCAAAATTTATGATTTATGACACATCAAATGTAAAAACAAATTAAAAGAAAAATGCAGAATTTTGAATATATAATGCAGGGGTGCCCAAATTCGTTCCTGGAGGGCCAGTGTCCTGCAGAATTTAGCTCCAACCCCAATTAAACACACCTGAAGCAGCTAATCAAGCTCTTACTAGGCATACTAGAAACTTCCCAGCAGGTGTGTTGAGGCAAGTAGGAGCTAAACTCTGCAGGACACCGGCCCTCCAGGACCGAGTTTGGGCACCCTGATATAATGCTTTTGTCAAGCAGGTTCTGCAGTGTTCATGGCAATAAAGTTTCATAAATCTATTTATTTACTACTGAACATTTAGAACAACTGTTGAGTTCATTAAACACATACTGACCTTTTGTGACAACATGCCCCAATAGCAACACGTTGTCATTCTATATGGGGTAAGTTGTCACAGTAAAACAATTCTGAAACCCAAAATGTACAATTTATGACACATCAAATGTAAAAATGCTTTAAAAAAAGCTGAATTCCTATATATAATGCTTTTGTAGTGCTGTTCTGCAGTGCTCATGGCAATACATTTTCAGAGTCAATTTATTTACTTTAGAAGATAACTGTTCTATATGGGGTAAGTTGTAACAATGAAACCTTCGATTATTATAGGAGTTTCAGCAAATTTTAATGAGTAAAACACTTATGAAACACAAATGTATTTCTTACAAATTTATGATTTGACACTGAATAAAAAAAAAATTTAATAATAAATTAAAGCAAACAACTAGCACTAATTTCCTAATGCATTTATTATAATATATAATGCTTTTGCGGTGTTGTTCTGCAGTGCTCATGGCAATGAAGTTTCAGAGTCAATTTCTTTACTAAATGAACATTTACAAAATACTACTGAGGTCATTAAACACATGTTGACCTTTTGTGACAACATGCCCCAATAGCAACACATGTTGCCACACTACATGGGGTAAATTGTCACAATGGAACTTGACATTATTTTATGTGTTTCAGCAAATTTTAAAGAGTAAAACAATTCTGAAACCCATTTTTATGACAATTTTAAACATTTAAATGTGTGATTTTATGACACATACAATGTAAACAACAACAACAAACTATGCAGAAATATTATAGCAAACATCTAGTCCTGGTGTTTCCTAATGTATTAATATTAAAATATCATTGTTATGCGGCGCTCATGGCAATAGAGTTTCAGAGGCATTTTCTTTACTACTTTCATCGAACACGCATTGACCTTTTGTGACAACATGCCCCAATTGCAACACATGCTGTCACACTATATGGGGTAAGTTGTCACAAACGGAACCATGTTGTTATCATAGGAGTTTCAGCAAAATTTGAAGAGTAAAGCAATTATGAAACTCAAATGATTTTGATATATCAAATGTAAAAAAAAAAACAATAGCAATGTTAAAGCAAACAACTATCCCTAGTTTCCTAATGGCAATGAAGTTTAATTGATTGAAACTCAA